CGGGATAAGCACCACCTCTCAGACCTTTGTCATCTGATTCGCCATGACGCCCCATATCTGTTTCAGGAGTATGTGAAGGAGAGCCATGGGAGGGATGTGCGGGTAGTTCTGGTCGGAGGGCGAGTGATCGGGTCCATGTTGCGCTGCTCTACCGACGGACGCATGCAGAGCAACTGTTCGCTAGGTATGCAATTGCGCAATCGCCTCCCCCCAAAATTATAATTTAATAACTGCTGATATTTTTTGGTGTCTGTGGGTGTTTTTATTTTTCTGTATCAACTAAGATTTATTTTTTTATTTTTTTGTATTTCCATATAAATATAAGATGTATGTAAGAAAACTAATAGGGCTGTCCATAAAGATTATTTTGGTAATCAAGTAATCGTCGATTATTTTGACGATTAATCGAGTAATTGGATTACGAAAACTAGAACTAGAAAACTAGAACTAAAACAATAGCCTTTATAATGACTTAAAATACATGTATAATAACGAGGCATTCATTTTTGCTTCAAATAATGTATCAAAAGCAAGTAATCTTACGGTTTTATAGAACAATATTGGTAAAATACATAATATAAACAATCTATTTATGTACATTATGTATTATAACAAATGCCTGCAGAGGGAACCAACTTTACAGCAGATCAAATCCTTGTTTAATATGGGTCAAATGACATTTAATTCAAATGTTAACTTAATCTTTAATATTTGGCCACTTCTTTATGATAGAAATGCTAGAGCCACTCATTTCTTGAACAAGAATATGTGGACATCAAAACATGCAAACTCGGAGCGAGGGTTTGACTTTCATTTTGAAATCACGATCAGTTGAAATCAGTTTGCATATTTAGAAACATATTGATGTATTCTCCTGTGTTAGCATAGGTTTATAAATGATTTGCATTACAAAGCTGTTGAAATGGCGCACATGAACATTATAATCAACCCAAACTCAACATTCAGAGATGGAGTTTGAGGCATGTAAATGATGTATGGTTCATGTGGAAAAACTGTGAATGGAGCCATTCTGAGACACAAGCGCATGGGCCTATATATTAAACATGCAGGGCATATATTTATTTAATTGAATTGCAGCCTTTGTGAATTCACAATAGTGCTATAGTATGGTATTTAAATGGTTTTAATACATCGTGCAGCCTTACAAAACAATCTAATAATGTGGTTCATGGATTCTGGTATTTTGCCAGTTACTCGACACGGGTAAATTGCAATCGAGGGTTCTTTTTAAACCGAGTACTCTAATTTAAATGACAGCCCTAATTACAATAATAAATACTATTGGCTTTAATTTTCAGTTCAAGGCAACATTTCTAATTTTCCTATACGTTTTTTTTATTTTATTTTTATTTCAGCTTTATTTCAGTTACCGCTTTTAATTGTTTTAGTTAACAATAGCAAGACTGACCATAATTTCCCATTTAGCCCCTCTGCTCATGATTTCACTCCTTTTTCTAGGTGGGGTGGGAATGATGTGCCCCCTTAGTGAGCAGGGGAAGCAGCTGGCCGTGCAGGTGTGCAATATTTTGGGGATGGACGTCTGCGGGATCGACCTGCTCCAGCTAAACGATGGTTCTTTTGTGGTGTGCGAGGCTAATGCCAACGTAGGCTTCATCGCATTCGACCAGGCGTGCGGGATGGACGTGGCGGGTATCGTGGCCGACTATGCCCTCTCACTCCTGCCAAACCGCCTCAGCAGGAAGATGTCGCTGCTGTCTGTGGTCTCCAGCACCAGTGAAACTAGCAGCGAGCCTGAGGTGATAATCCCCACAGAGGTGTGTATTCCCAACGAGATCTGCCCACCCGGCACTAGCTGTACCATCCCTGACGGCGTGTCGACCATGAGCACAAGCTCCACCTCCAGCGAGAGTGAGGGGGATCTAAACGAAACGGGCCCCAACCCTGTCACTGCAGATCCCGCTTACAATATCAACTCCCTCCTCGTGAGTGAGATGAAACTGTTGACTGAGTGAGCTGGAATTACAGCCACAAACACACACAGATACACAGACATCAAAGAGCAACACATACTGAAGTGGACATTAAATGCATACAGATGCACACGTGTAATCATACTAACCCTCCCTGTAAACCCCCGTCTGAGGCTGCTCCCCTGATGTTTCTTCTCCATTGACAGACTATAGAATTAAACAAGTGTACAGTGCAGTTTGGAAGTGCACCAGATAGTGTACACTCCAGTCTGGCTGTAGTGCACCAGCTGAATATGTGTTTGCCACTGTAATTTGAGGGTGCATGTACTGTAGAGTGGTTTTATCAGGACATGATTCCCAAATGTAACCTTTCAGCGACCAACAAACTGGATTCTGATGTTCATACTGTGGGTTAGGGTACACACACACACACACACTGACACACACTTAAGGACATATTAAAGTCTTTTGTATTATAGAGAGAGAATGAATGAATTTTGTCTGTTACAAACCTTGTGGTAAAGCCTGGCTGAAGGCATAATGCATTGCATGCATGGGGCGAGAGAGAAAGAAAGAGATAGGAAATGAATGGACCCAAATTTCAACTGCCCACCAGGATACAAAGGCACATACCTCCCTGCCCTCAAAAAGTCCATCCAGACAGACAGATAGAGGGACACCAAGAACAAAAACTGGAAAGCTGTGAATATTCTCATCCATCCCGACTCTTTTAAAAGCATGAATGAATACGAGTTATTTTAGTCTGTTGCAATGGCTGCCTGTAGTAAATGAATTACTGCTGATCAGACAAGCGTAAAGGTTTCATTTGCTTTGCCGGTGTCTGTAAAATTGAATGACTGATGTGGGACCCGTTTTGAATTACCATCCTTAATGTGTAAGTGACGATTTGGCCTATAGGAACTTTAATTGGTAAATGGGCATCTTCTACTTGGTAATTCTGTAATTGAGGCGGCCATTTTAAAAACCTCCACTGTCCACCATTTTGGATTGGTTAATGTACTCTGTTTACAGATCAATACTATGGAAGATAATGTGAACGGGAACAATATTCTTAAAAAAAAAAAAGCTTCTTTATCCAATGTCTAATTCAAACCTGCTAATGCCCACACGTCAATCTGCATGTCTGCCACTCCAAAAGCAAATCTCCCACATATAGAGTCTGAACAGTGAGTTGCATAGAAATAGAGTAGACTTTTAAATACTAATGTTTTTACCACAAGGGCTGAACGTTTTGCCAACACTAAGCGCTGACGATGAATAAGCTATTTGTCTTCAACGATTTGTTTGTACAAAAATACTGCAACAATAAAACTGAAGTGTCAACTCAAATGGGTGCTACAACTTCTTTTAATTCAGCCCAGTGGTCTAAAAGCCAATAACCTGAAAGAAAACCAGGAATTGTATTGATTTGAGCACTGCACATTCCTCAGTCTAATTCTTCTATTTAACATTAAGTGACTCTTTTAATATCCCTTTTCAATTTGGAAATGTCTAAAAATAGTAAAAATCCTTACTCTGCATATTTGCATGTTCAAATTTACATTCAGTCTTAAATTGCATATATAAAAAAAAAACTTCAAATGGACCAAACTCACAATCCAAACCATATCAGAATGGTTTGCCATGTTAGACGTCATAGTTTAGATCAATTAAATGTGAGTTCAGACTTTAGATGAAATACAGTTTACATTAAGATGAAATATAGACTTGACATTTTAGTTAACTCGGGGAAGCAGCCTTGATCAAATTCCTGTCCTTGGAAACGTGACATTCATGTTAGACAGTCCTGCCTATGTGTATCAATAAACAAAAGGACAAAGCGTTATAAAATATTAAGAAATGGATGCTGTGAGACCTGATGGTTAAATGCAATCTTTTTCTTGTTTGTTTTATATTTAGTGTTCTGTTGTCTTTTGTTTTCCTAATTTATAATTTTATGTTTTGTTGAGAAAAAGGACAAACTGGTTTATAATCTTGCTTGGGAAAGGCTGAAGAGTGGCGAAGGGTTTTAGTGTGAGTTTGACTGAACAGACATTGACCACCTGAGACGCACACACACACACACACACGCACTCTTCTCACCACCCCCTCTCAAGCGTTGTGATTTGCCGTCTTGTGTGTGATGTGTTCCATCATTCCATGCCACCAGAGACTTGCACCCTCCACCTCATCCCACTCAAGAACAAGTGTCCCTGTAAACTCTGACACTTTTCGGTGTTTGCGATAACGCACCATGTGGTTGTCCGACTCTTACACACTCTGCCTCCACTTCCGGTAGAATACAACAGGAAGTTTCTTCTCCCCTTATGTTTAGCATACAAACAAACTGTGTGACTCCAAATCTAAATACTTCAATTCAGAATAAATCAAGTCCTAAATCTGAACTGAGAGCTAACATGGCGTCATCAGATCTGGCTCAGTGGAAAACATTGTCTATATGAAATAATACTCATTCTGAGTATTAAGGTACCACTATACTCCTCTGACTTGGCAATTAACTTAGTGTCACAAAAAACAAAAAAACAGTTGCTGCTAATGAACTGTTCTATGGAATGGAAAAGGGAAATGTTTTGAGACTCCATGTGTTCATTTCATTGCGCCTCTTGTTTCGTTTTTGTTTTCCTTTTTTTAGTGGGAACCTAAATGCCAAAAACCAAGCAATGTTGTATAATTTAAAACAAGAAATTACTAGTGATAGAACGCTAACATTGATGTTATGTGTCATTACGTAATAAAACCAATAATACCAATAAAGACATTAAAAAAATGTCCAGAACATGAAATTTGTGTCAGCTTGTCTTTATCTCACGTCACAGTTGACAGACCTTTTCCATCGAACTTTTGCTATCGTTTGCCTCACTAAAGGTGCAGTCACATTTTGAACTTTTGCAGGCAAAATCCAATCAATACAATCGGAATCCATGCGCTTGTGATTTTTGTGAAGGAGTTCCCTATGCAGATTTCGCAACGGGTTAGAGTTAGTCACAAATTTACCAGCAGAAAGGTTTGAAAGTGACTTCTGTTTGTGTGTGAGCTGTGCTTCATACACTATTGACAATGGACCCTTTTTGCCGGTGAAATTTCACTACAGTGACTGCACCTTAATTGTACATCAGTTTCTCCCAATATCCATTGATGATAGATTAACGAATTAATATGAAATTAAGCAGGATGCCACCGTACAGTGTAAAGATTGTGGTCTGTTTTGATTTATTGTTTTTTGGAGGTCTGTGGTGTATAGGTTTAGCGGGCAATCTCATTCTAGGTGTTTTTCAGCATGTTGTAGGAGGTTATGGATCGACTCTCTCAGTCTGTTTTGTTCACTTAACCCCTGGATCAACACCTCAGCCTTCTTCCCATACTCCAGAGCCTATATACACAAACACAAAAACATAAAAGGAGTATATACCAACAACAAAAAAGGAAATCTGATTTCCAAATTTATAATAAATAGACTAATTTCATTTCCAATTTAATCTGGTAGTATGACAAGTGTAGCTGTTTAATTGAGAGACTTTTGGGATAGTTTGATGAATAATGGGATGTTAACGTTTTGATTTAAGAGCCGGGGAGATGTGAGGTAATATATGGGAAGTTTTTTGTTTGTTATTTTTGTAGTTGGATATGAGAGCTGGGAGGTTGAACTAGTTTCTAATATCTGGGGATTTAAAATGTAGGGGAAGTAAAAGAAAGCCTAAAGGAGAATCCCATTACAACCAGAATAGCCGGGTCATGGCTTTAGTCATTAGTGTTATTAGTGTTAATCTGCACTGAATTCAAGAACTTAACATGTTTACGGCACAGAATGACTTCATATACAGTATACACCCATGCATCCAGATCTGGATTCAAATGTTTCATCTCGGCACTTTCTATTTAATTTAGATGTTTGGGCGAGGTTTTGGTTATTGACTATGATTTGGTTATGCAGGGCAGTGGTGAGGAGGTGAGTGTTGAATTCAGGAGCATATTGTAAATGTATCATATGAAGTTTCTTTATAGAATATTTCATTAGTCGATATTTATTGTTTACCTTGGTGTGGTTGTTGCATAGCAACCACAGCATAGCTAGAGAATGAGCCAACAGGACTGACTGGTCAGGGCGAGGTTTCACACACTGTTCCTCAAACTCTAAGAGACATCTCAACATCTGATCAGCCTCCACACACTGGGCCTCATCTATCAGACACACAAACAGGAATCTCAATGTCAGATAACAAGGTCACAGCCAGGTCAGTGTAGTATCTGAGAAAACTGTTTCAAGTTTCTGTATTAAATAAAAGCTTCACCACTGTTCGATCGTGCGAGGTGAGTAAACCAGGGAAATACCTGTGAAACTGTATGATGAATTCTGTTGAATAATCTCTAGTCTAAGAGATATTCAGCAATATGATCTTCCATCTAGTGTTTGAAACATATCACCACCTTACACAGGGTTTGACGTTGTTTGCCAGGTGGATGAATCAGCCGATATTGTCTGAATCGGCTGATAACCATGATCACTCGCTCCATTAAGAGAAATACTAGCTCTCCCTTGAGCCAGTTCTAAAATCTACCAACAACCTAGTCTATGGATAATTTGTTTTCAAATATTTTTAGTGTATTTCAATTAAATATTGTTTGATTTCAGCATATGTACACTACCGTTCTAAAGCTTCGGGTTCAGTAAGACTTTTTTTAATTAATGTATTTAAATTAATAACTTTATTCTGCGAGATTGCATGAAATTGCTAAATAGTGACAGTAAAGACATACAATTAAAAAAGACTTCTAGCTAAAAAAAAAAAATCATGTTCTTTTGAACTCTATTCATCAAAGAATTAAACATTTTGATCATGTTTTTTTTAACATCGATAATAATAATAAGTGTTTCTGGAGCCCCAAATCAGCATATTAGAATGATTTCTGAAGGATCATGTGACACTGAAGACTGGAGTAATGATGCTGAAAATTCAGCTTTGATCACAGGAATAAATTAAACTAGAAAAGGTATTTTTAAATTGTAATGAAATTTCATTGTATTACTGTATTTGTATTGTATTTTTGAAAAAATCAAAGCAGCCTTGTTAAGACTTAAAGTCTTAAAGTAGTTTTTAACAATAATGTATGTGTATGTATAATTGAAAAGTATTCGCTTATATCATTGGTTTATTTAAACATTTAAATGTATTAATTTATCAATAAAATAAGAGTAATTATGATTATACCTATTGCATTTACAAGTGTCTTGACTGAACGGTGATGTAAGTCCACAGACATGATCAGACTGTCTGCCCTATAGAGACAATAAAAAATAGAACTGGCTAGTCTGTGTCCCTGATTGATATCAGGTCATGCTTGTTGTTGTTGCTCAGTGCAGTCACATTCAAAGTGACATGCAGAGCAAGGCCGGCTGAGCTGTTTCCTGCTATAGTGTCATCTGGTCAGAAGTTATAATGTGATGTGGCTGGCCAGAGGGCGGAACCGGCGCCAGTCTACTGACCTCAGGTCAGTCGTTAAGAGGCCAGAGAGCAGGAAGGATCAAGTGTACTGACCAGTGACCAGCCAGTATGAACACAGAGCTAAGCCAGCCACGTCACTGGAAGACTTAGCCAAAACACCGCTGAGGTTAATAGGCTTAGCAAAAGAACTAGGGCAGGAGTGCGGCACGTACTAGCGGCTCTGTCATGTTTGATCTTAGTCATCAGTAGAATAAAGTAGCTTTTGCTCTAGGAAACAACCTCATGACATGACTCTAAATATATAGATGACCTCATACAAACTACATACAATACACACACAACCATGATGGTACAGGCTGTCATAAAAGCTTATAAATAATTTAATCCGCACCATACAGATGTGACATTTCATGAGAGATCATAAGTCAAATTTATGTCAGGATATGAACTACATTAAATGAAATGTACAATATATATATATATACTGTATATATGCAAGATGCAGGTGAAATGGGTAGGAATTAAGATCTGATTGACTGGGTAAATGATCTCTGAAACACCAAGGCTTGTGTTGCTCCCAGTCAATAGTGGTGAGTGTTTACCAACAGTGGTCCGAGGAGGGGCAAACCACAAACCAGCAAGAGGCTGTTGGCCACCCAAGGCTCATCAATGCACGAGGGCAACGAAGGCTATCCTGTCCGGTCCAAGCCAACAGAAAGTCTACTATGGCACAAGTCAAACAAAATTTTAATGATGGTTATGGGAGGAATGTGTCATTACATAGTGCATTGCTCTTTGATGGATATGGGGCTACGTAGCTGCAGACCAATAAGAGTGCCTATGATGACCCCTGCCCTGACCACTGTCGAAAGTGCCTACACTGAGCACGAGCATCGGAACTGGACCCTGGAGCAGTGGAAGAAGGTCGCCTGGTGCGATGAGTCCCGTTTTATTTGACGGCAAGATCTCAATCCCATTGAGCATCTATGGGATATGCTGGACCAACAAGTTCGATCCATGGTGGCTCCACGTCGCAACCTACAGGACTTGAAGAATCTGCTGCTAAAGTATTGGTGCCAAATACTTCAAGACACCTTCAGGGGTCTTGTAGAGTCCATGCCTTGGCATGGAATAAAGATCCGATTGACTTTAGTTTTGTTTACTCATTCAACCTGCATGCTAATACGTGTTTGCAGGAATCCAGCACATTATAAGCATTGAACTTGTGGGAATGAGTAAAATTATGTTCAATTACACAATCCTGTGATAAAATTTAGGCCCTAAGTAGACAATATATGCATTTATATATTCAGGATTATTTCAGGACTTACAGTTATAACTATATATTCAGATTTATATTTATATGGCTTATAAATATATATTCGGATTTACATATTCACGATTCATATTATTATATAATTATTTCCTGATTGGCCCTTCATAATATGAATATATATACATTTGATATTTGATTAACAATGAAACCGTTACTGTCCACAGAGATGAGACTATTTGCGGATATGTCTTTGTGTTGGTTGTCTTTATGTCTTTATGCCACTTACCAAAACATTCTTCTGGTTGAGTGCCACTCCGACTGATATCATCCATCAGCTTACACAGGTGAGAGTGCCATGAACTCGCCACCTGTACACACGCACGCAATGCAATGAGAGACGTTTCACAGACACAGATGACTCAATGTGCACTGGTGGTGGGTGTGTGTCTACCTCTGCGTAGAGCGAGAGGGCAACGTCAGGCTTGTTTTGCTTCAGAAACACATCAGCCATCAGGAAATATCCTCCAGACGTCACAGTACTGTCCAAACCAAACATCTCACTGGCATAGTACACCTGCACAAAGAAAAAAATATTACAATTTAAAAATGAATGAACTTTGGGTGTTTTAAAGAGACAAACAAATAACTGACATAAATAAATGGACATGAAATATGGATTTTTAGTTCAAATTAAAATGATTAAACAATAATATCTAATGCCAGTATACCACTGGTACACATTATTATGTACATGCAATCCAATCACAGTGTTCCACGCATATTAGGACTTACGTCATTGGCAAAGTGAGTGAGAGCAGATGTGTATTTTCCCATGGCAGCGTGCAGTCGGCCCAGGGTTCTGTGTAGCTGATGAAGGACAGTGTGACTGCAGCCTGGTGTTCTCATCACTGTCCACTCAGCCTTAGACAGATACTCATGAGCCTGGAAGAGAGAACCTAAACCTAAACACACAAAAACAACATGCACTATGAACAAAGGGTCCTTGATGCCTCTTGAGTTGGAGTGAGCCTGGCTATTAGAGGGCCTGTCTGTGTCTACTCTATACAACCATCTTTGATGTTTCTATTGGAATAGAGATCTAATGTTTTAAAGATTCATGCCTGGTTTCCTCAGTTGTCAAAAAGTCCACTGTGTGGATTCTCATGTAAAGTGTCTATCTGTATAGACAGAAGCCTAATGATCAAGGGTGTGTCTCAATCCGCTCCCTAGTTCAACAGTGCACTGCCCTTGGCCAAGGAGTTGGCCATTCCTAGTGCTGTCTCACTGTCAAAATTATTCCACTGCACTGAGATGTTCACTCCCCAGAATCAGCTGCTTAATGGAATTGACGTCATGTCATCTGTCTCTCGAGTTGTGAGAAGATGAGCGCAAGTGTAAATGAAGACAAAGCTTTATTACTGTCTTTAAAATGTTATTTCTAATGTGCATGGAAAGAACAGCTATAATGTAGATGCACTGTGATGTTGTTTATAAATGTCAGATGCCTTTTGATGCAGACTTTCTTGACACAGCAAACTGAGTCATCAATGTCCCAATATTTAATGGATCAACAAGGCCCCGATTCATATTCACAATATGCAAATTCATGTCAGTGAATTATCCCATGCCAACTATCAAATCTCCAGTCACATAAAGATTAATCTTTCATATGCTTATGTCAAAGAGCTTTCAGTGCAAGAGGTTTTCACTCAGACAGTACACATCTGCATGACTAGTCTGCCACATCCTGAATTACATAACAAACATCTCTCCGTTCAGTTCATGTCCAAGCACCACCCCTGAGCCCACCAATAGACCGTCCCACAGGAAGTAAATAGGGCTCGATGTCAGCCTCGGTTTTTAGCAAACATTTGTTTCCATTCTCTGCAGAAGTGAAAGTTATTGGCTGTTAGCCTCCAGAGAAGTTCGGAAAGTGAAGCAAACTGTGAAGTCTGCAATCTAATGGACCTTAGAGAGATTTAAAATTAGCACAACCATGGGTAGGTTTTTGCAGGTTTAGTGCTTGTCTTTTGTTAGTTTTGTGCACATCTCACCTATATTAGCCTGCGCAAGCAGTAGATAAGCTGGTACCAGTTCAACAGCACAGGTTCCGTACACCTGCATGGCCCAGCGCAGGAATAGGAGAGCGGCTGGCAACACATCCTGGAACCTCTTCTTGGACACCCACCTCTGCGCCTCTAAATGAGCAATCTCTATTAGATACTCCTAGTGTCAAAAACATACAAAACACACACTTATCAGACATCTGCCCTGTTAACAAACCGATTTGCCCCATTTTAATGTGCTGGAGTGCATATAAACCTGTTTCTTCACTCTTTCTTTTTGGTGGTGGTCTTGGTCGGACTGCAGTGTGCCGAATGATGCAGGTGCGTGAATAGATACCAGCAACGGACACACTTTTTCATGAATACTGATCCAGTCAGTCAGCTGGTGGTCAGGGTCACTACACACACACACACACACACACACACACACACACGTTTGGTTTCCAAATTGTATGGAGACTTTCCATAGACATAATGATTTTTTTCCAGTACAAACTGTGTATTTTATCCCCTTACACTAACCCTACCCCTCACAGAAAACGTTCTGCTATTTTACATTTTCAAAAAACATCACTTAGTGTGATTTATAAGCTGTTTTAAGCTGGACCAAAAAATGTCCCCACAAGGACAAGGATTTCAGATATTGCCATCTTTTTGGGACATTTTGTCCCCATAATGTAGGGTTTACCAGGACACACACACACACATTACTTAGCTAGCTAAATGAGAACATTCAAGATACTTTTATTGTTTTTAGATACACCTAACCCCAACAGAAACATTCTGTAGTTTATATCAGACTGGTGTACGGTATATCAGCACTCAGCAGGAGTCAGATTTAACATCACTTTGCCTATTTCGCCGATCTTGATTGAATGGCGGAAGATTTGGTTTCAAAGCGAAATGGAAAAACGCCTAACGTATTTAGGCGATTTTGTCATTGTATCGTTTTGTTGTGTTTTTCATCAATAATAATAATAATGGACCCACCATTCAAACAACTGCCGCCCCAGAATTGGCGCTAATTCAAAAGTTTTTTTATGTCACATTTTGTAATATTTGCGGGGGTTTATATTTTCTTATATTGATTAATCTCTCATCTAGTTTTTTGAGGAGCCCCTTGCCTCCTCGGAGGAATCGCCCCTTATAAATAAAAATTTCATTTAACTATCGCTTTAAGTGGTGCCCATCAGATCAGAGAACATTCTGTTTCTGGAGGTAAAAAAAAAGTGACCGAGGTATAATATTTAAATTAGATAAACATTTGCATGTTGACACTGTGAGACCGTAGATATGCGTCGTGGTTCGTGGCGTCTTTAAAACGGCAAGTGAAAACTCCACGGATGCAAACTAAAAAACATTTATTTTTCCAGTCATATTTCTTTCTTTTTTTCCTGGTTGGTTTTAAGCATGCATGGCTGGCTATTCTCTTCCCTCTGCACATAATTTCTCCTCCAGCTGTTTGAACTCGTTCAACCTTTCCATCTCTGCAGTAACACGGCCAAGAAGAATGCGTGCGAAACATGTGTGCCTATAATGCCACCTGCTGTCTGTACGCGCAATTACACTATGGAGTATTTTTTTTTTACCAGTATAAGGTGTTTTATAAAGACAAAACACATCATTGAATAACCCGAAGGCTCCAGACTCACCAGTAAAATGTGACCAGGCATTGTGTGCACTTCAGTTGAGCAGGTTTCTGGCAAAGTTCGCATAGTTTTTTCACTCCTTTGGGATTTGCTAGAGGGTTTATAGTGAACGACATTCCAAATGTACAAATCTATACTAACGTTAAAACTCTCAATCTGCAAAATGTGCTTAAATATAAAACAAAACAAAACCAAGTGTTAATTCTGCGTTCTTACCACAAACCGTTTCAACAATTTTCCAGCTCACGCAATAGTGTTTTACAAATGGGTTCCCATGGAGACGACCTCAACTTAACCGCCGAGGATTTAACTGCCCCAGCGATTTTGGTGTTTTATATATTTTATACACCAGTGTATAACAACAGCGTTGCTACTGTGTTTCCAAAGATATATTACGTAGGCCTACTTTCTTATTAAACAAAACGTTACATTTGCATAACCCTTTTGTCTCGAAATACAGGTAAAACGTGATCTACAAGTTTATCGCCATCTGGTGGTGAAATATGTTTCCGTGCTAAAAATTTAACCTAAAGTTAAAGATTAATCTAACTGTGGTGTATTTCTCCTCCTCTAGACTAGGGATAATTGTCACAGGTTTTTATATATAACATGTTTTATATAGCATACTACAAGCGTTATATTACATGTAAAAATAAAATAAAATAAAAACTAAATACTTCTTACCTGTTTTTTATTTATTTATTTATTGTATAAATGCCAAGCTGGGGCAAGTTGTCACACATTATAAATGTTATTCATTTAACACATGCTTTTTTTATCAGAAGTGACTCACAAGTAGAAATAATACAAGCACAAATTAATCCAATGACAATACAAATACCATTTCTATAAATACCATAGAAAGACAACGCTAGAGCAGATGTGCAAGTGCATGGTTTAAATGTAGGCCTATAATTTATATAATTTTTTTCACATTAGTTTTGTTTAATTGCTGCCCTTTTAAAATCTAGCAGAAAACCTATTTTAATGTGTCACATTCCACTGAGACAACTTACCCCATAACAACCTGTCTAACTACCATTATGCACATCTCATCAGTCTCCCAGTCCCAGGGTGTATGCAACAACAAAATTACAATTATATCGGAATTTATACATTAAACTCAGTAATAACACTTTAACATTTTTTTAAAAAAAAGTTTATTGATTTGCTCATCCACACAAAACAACATACAAAATTTCACACGTGATAGTGTTTAAAATAGCCTACTTGAAAATACAATTGTTTTTCCTCTGCCCTGAAAACCTTCCAAGGGCCAGACTCTACCCACTCTCCTAAATTAATCATAAAACCGTGAGTTTGCATGGAATCTCTGTGCAAAAACACACACACACAAATACAGTCAAAATCAAATACTTCCTACCTCAGTCTCTCTTGACCTCAGTCAATTGTCTTTTTGACAGGAGACGTTTAAAAGCACTCTGGTTAGTGTTACTTCTGTTCAATTGGCCAACAAGAAAAAGTGGGAAAAGATGATAGAAAATTCTCAGGGTGGTCCATTTACTGTACAGCAGTATTTTCCTTCACACAATTACCAAAACTAATAAGAAATCCACCTGCACACACACACACAGTCGAGTGGAGTTTAGACAGCTCTTCCTGTAATCCGACGTGCAGTCGGAGCAGCGATGAATTTATCGGAGATACTGAAATTGAGTCATTAACACGGCACTGAATCTCTTTCTGCTTTGTCTAGCAGCTGCTATTATTCAGCTGAGCTCTGAGATTACCAGAGAACTGGAGCACACATCCCCCAGGACCCAGTCCGATCCATTTCTACTCAGGGAAAAAGCGAAATAAATTGCCTTACACGGTGAATGCAGTAACAATTCAACAGTATGAATTTCACCTTAAATGTATTTAAATAAAGTGCACTATACAAAATCTGCTGTGACTAAACAACGTTACTTGAAAAATAATTACTTGCTTGTGTTTGGACACAAATGTTTCTCAAAAATGCTACACAAAAACTGCAGTGAACCAGCCTATTTGATTGACCTGCTGTTGGGCCGCAGTGTCACAGCAGCCAGCAGGTGGTGGTGTTTCCTTGCTTTTTCAATGTATATTTTTACCTGAAAGTGACTCAATGCAGCACTCTAGAGTGCCAAAACTGTCGCTGATGTTTGAGATTGTGTTTCTTGTTCTTTTTGCAGACCTGAGAGTCGTGTTGTTTTCCACATCATCAGCAAAATGTACTCTAAAAAAGCAGAAAGAATAAAATGGCTTCGGAAACATTTGCACTCATAACAAGCACAAGCACCTTTGTTTTGCACTAGCAGAACTTGAAATGAAGACTATCTTTAGCCAACAGAAATTCAGTACCGTGTTTGTTGCTGGCTCAGGTTGAAATGAAGGACTCTACTCTCCACAAAATATGGCACAAAACAAAAATTAATTTCAGACTATGAAATTAAAATCAATACACATCCTCTTGATAATCGGAAACAGCTCCGTAAAAAGAGGTTTCAGGAATTAGTATTGCATGTACCTGTATTTAGATAGAAAGGCACTCAATCAAAGGCACAGGATCTGCTGGCAACCGTAATTAAAAGTTTCTAGACATCTAAAAACAACATGGTCAAAATGGCAAATCAACACACTTTAAAAAGGATCCCCTATTTGAATGTATCCTAGTGAAACAATTATAATCTTCACTAAATTAAAAAGTGAAACAGAAGCGAAAGCAAACATCTCCAAACATCAGACTACTCATGTGAAGTGAGAATTGCCTCTCGGACAAAAACAAGACCGTTGCCATTTAGTGTTTGCTGCAGTTCCTAAAAACAGTAACCACAGAAATGTCCATACATAAAGAGATGATGAGCAATGTGAGATCATGAGATCACAAGAGCAGGAAGCAACCTGTCAAAAATGCATATTAAACTGCACTTAGAAACCAACCGCGAATTCTTCTGCCACGCTAAAAGGCAAAACACAGTAACTTCATAAATTCTAAGTCTATGATCTGTCCCATGACAGATGGGTTTTCCTAAACTACGTTCAGATTCAGAGAAAACGGAGCATGAAAGTTGACATCGAATCAATCCAAAAACCTTTTCCATCTGCGTTTTGCCTTCATGTGGCAGCATAGCCTGGCACTATTTTCAACCAGCCAATAAGAACAGGGAAGACTACAATACAGATACATAAAAACTTCACACTCAACTTAAAAAAAAGAAAAAAAAGTGTATCCTACATGTAATAATGACCTTTAGTCCAAAATACTATTCCTATGATAGATATCCTTCTCCCATGTCTTGATCTGACAAATCCTGTGCGCACGTCACCTTAAAATGACAAGGCAATTCTCTTATGAAAATCTGCTCTATTTTGAAATGTGCATTTTGAAGTTTCATTTAAAAGCAGATGAACTGTGTAATTCTGGAGTCTCAAACTAGGAATGCTCTCATAATGTTTGTAATATACCAGAAAAAGGTGAATTGGGTCATTAAGGTACAGAGAGACTCCCATTTGAATGTTGGGAGAATGAAAGTAACATTTGAGGGGTGTGTGGGATTGCATAAAAAAGACTTTCTTGGCAACAGTCTTTTTGTGCTTTTCGAAACATTGCCTGAATCATTAAGTAACGCTTTAGAGGGAACATTTCTTTTCTGTGTTTATCATTTTGGACTGTCAGAATGGGAAGACATGGATTGTTGGCATGTGAGTGCAGTTTATAGTGTCCTTTTCCGTTTGGCAACGTCCGCTCATGCATAACATTCGTCTCCATCCGCCTCCTTTGCCTTCTCGTTCAGGGCATTGTCTATACTTGTTTCTTCATCTTTCTCTTCCTCCCTAGCTCTTCTCTCCTCCTCCCTCTTCTCTTTGTCCAATAGCCGGTAGTTGATTCCCATTCCCACGAACAGGAATGCGCTGGCGACCACCAGGACGGCTCCACAACCCTGATATGTGTATCTATAATCATCGTAGATATCATTGAGTCTTCCTGCAAGGAAAGAAATGGGAAAATGCTTTCATCAATCTCTGTTACAAAGTAACTGGAACAAGACATGCGATGACGTTCATTGATTAGTGTAGTTAAAGCTGAAGCACGTTAAGTCCCACAGTTAAAAAAATTAAATAAAAACAGCTTTTATATTTAGTCAATATTTTAAGTCACTCATTTATCTCATAATAGCATTTTAGTTGATGAGAGTATATAAAATTAGAATATCCAAGCATTTTATATATTCATTTATATTCATTAAAATGTTTTTAATATTTAATTTGATATTTTTTTAATATTGGTTTTACTATTTGAAATATTTTAGTTGATGAGAATAAACCAAATATTCAAACATTTTACATATTAATTGTAACATTAATATTTAATTTGATATTCATATTTTTGATTAAAATTCCTTTAACTTTAGTCATTATTATGTCATGTTCATACATTTTTGTAATTACATTTTAGTTGATGAGAACATGTATAATTAAATTCCATATTGAAGCACTATTATCGTTTTTATTTATTTATTATTTTTAAATGTTTTATTATTTTTAATATATTTATTATAATTTTATATATTCATTTGAAAAAACATCCCATAAATTGTCGCTATTTTGTCATGTCATATTAATATTTCACAATAACACTTTCAACGATGAGAAAATATTCAAGCATTTTATATATTAAATATGTATCAACATTTAATTAAAAAAAACAACAACGTGAAAATAGTCTTTAAAAGGGATATTACACTCAAAAGCTAATTTTGTCATCATTTACTTTATCAATCCAAACCTGCTTGGCCGCCTTCTTTGGATGATCAAATGGTCAGTGGTAAACAAAACTGTTTGGTAACCAACATTCTTCATACAGGTTTGGAACGACATGAGGGTGAGTAAATGATTATCATTTTGTCGTTTTTGGTCTAAACCCAGCCTTACCCAGTAACGGCGGCCCCAGCAGCACAGGTCCACACTCCACGATGGTGACCAACCCGACAGCACTGGAGAATCTCTGAGCGCCCACCAGGTCCATGAGAGTCTCAAACAGCACAGAACTGAGCCAGCCGAACGCCACACCGAAAAACACTGCATAAATGGCAAAACCCAAGTAATCGGTGGAGAATGGCGCCATCAAGTGGCAGATGCCATTATACAGCACAGATGCTGCGAAGAAGTACTGGATGCGTGGACGGACCCAGCGTGTGTTGGCCAGCAGGCCCATGGACGGCCGAGCAATCATGTCAGTGAAGGCCAAGATGGACAGCAAGAACGCAGCCTTATCCTTGGAAATGTCTTTACTCTTCGCGTAGTTACTGAGGAACACAAGGGGTGCGAAGAGGCCGAAAAACATGATGACGTTTCCGAGCAGGTACAGCAAGAAGCCTCGGTGGGTAAACAGGGTCAGATCCAGAAAGCTGTTGACGGTCTGAAGGCATGTTTTTTTCTCTTGACGTTTGGGTTCGCCATCCTCTTTTGGGATGGCAGGTTGTGGTTTTGGTCCAATGGGTCGCATTAGTGACCCCGCAACACAGCAGTTTAGCAAAGCTCCTCCCAGGATGAGGAAACTGCCCCTCCACCCGTAATAATCAAACAGCCAGCTGTTCAACGGGGCCAGGGTGGACAAGAACACCGGGCTGCCCGCCATCGCGATGCCATTAGCTATTGGCCGCCGCTTGTAAAAGTATTTGCCAATCATGGTCAACGCTGGATTCAGATTAAAAGCCAAACCCAGTCCTAGAAACAGAGGAGAGAGAAAGCTTGTACGCATGATTCAGAAAGTGAGTTTGTAACTTTCATTATTTAATTGTACTCACCCTGTCCTCATGATCAGTGTCATTCAATGTACTTACCGCCTATAACTCCCACACAGAAGTAAAGACCCTCTACTGTGTTACAGAAGGATGCGGCGACTAATCCTGTGCCAGACAGAACCCCTCCAGCAATCATGATGGGTCGACTACCATATTTATTCACCAGAATACTGCTGATTGGTCCTGTTGAGAAAAAACAGGTTGGTTTGAAAATAAATAAATAAAATTCAGACACATGTCTAATTACAGTTTAAACTGATGTGTGATTATTTATTTTTTATATAGCTAAACACAAATTAAATATAAGACTAGATTGGGTAACATTTTTGTAAACTTGATTAGTCCTGTTAACACAAAACATGTGGGTAAAAAAAGAAAGGTAAAAGCAAACAAGCTAAACCTAAATTTGCAACCCACACATCACCCTGTGTAACAGGGTTGCAACAAATTGTAAACATCTTATAATAAATAGAATATTAAAAAAAAGTTAATTTGACCCCCCGAGGTTGACAATCAACATTACCAACCATTTGTTGAAAAAGAAAAATCACTTTAAGAGTTTTAGGCTACATTTTGTCCCCTTTTAATGTTCCACCACAAGATGGCATTACAGTCATTCACACATCTGACTGTTTCAAAGCAAAACTCCAGGAGGACACAGAGACGATTCAGAGGAAGGAAACTTCACTACATGGCATGTGATCAACTGAGGTGGTGTGAGGGAGAAAAACTTAATCAGCAGAATGAAGCTGCCCCAAAGTGATCAGAACAGGAACAGACTGTTCATTTCAGTAAACATGGCTCAAACATTATGGAAAGCAGACAAAACAAGCAGCCTAATACAACCTTCCTTTCTTCGACATAATTAGGAGTTCCCACACAAATACACAATTGCAAGATTTAATAAGCGGTTTCAGAGATATACAGTGAATACTTCTGAGCTTTACTGTGCACCACAGAAGACGGCAATACAAGTACAAGAAAGAGCATTCAGAAACAAAAAGAACCCAGCTATTACTTCCTCTTTTTCCTGGTGAATAAATAAACCGCTTCATCAGTGCAGTGCTCTTCTTGTGAAAGGCCCCATTTCGAGCAGCGTCACACTTAAAGGGCTAGTTCATCCAAAAATGAAATTTCTGTCATTAATTACTCACCCTCATGTCTTCGGAACTAAAATGAAGATAATTTTGATGAGATTAGAGAGGTTTCTGACCAATGTTCCCTCTATTTTTTTTTTCTTGCGGAGCAAAACTTCTCTATTGGGCGGACATTTTGCGCCACCTGAGCAAAAATATTCTTTATACCTGACCTGTACAGCATACGTAGAAACACAATGGTTTCAACATGCAGTTGTAACTTTTAACTTGAATGGGCCATTTCTATTTTATTTGAGCATTGGTGTAACTCTTTGGTATTCAATCATATTTTTGAAAACAAGCAGTTAATTAAGAAGTCACTAAATGAAGGTTACCTTTTAGGTTACTGAGAATCTTTTTTTACAGTGCTTTTTACAGTTAAAATTAAGCTGTTACACTGAGATGGTTTGGGAAAACCATAAAGTGTTTTTGTACAGTCAATTAATTTTGTACAGGTAGCATTAAACCGTCAAAGTTAAATGATTGTTTATTGCTTATGAATTGCCAATATTTTCTTTAGCAGGGGGTTTCAAACGTTTTAAATGGCAAAGAGCCCTAAACAATAGGCCTACCCTTGTGAGATCAATTCTTCATTAGGCTTATAATATAATAAAATATAGGCCTAATATAATATAAAAAAAAACGAATTGAAGTATTTGAAGTGATTTAATATGAAAACAAATTGAAGCATTTAAACTGATATATTATATTATTATAATATGAAAACAAACTGAAGCATTTAAATAGATCTAATAGCTAAATATTTTCAAGAAAAGTGAATGTGTGAACTTTTATAGTAATCTAAAAACCCCTGAAACCCTGAAATTTTATTTCATGTCTGCATTTCTCGTTGCCTCTCGTATTGAGCTATTTGGTCCGCAAACATGACCGTTTTTTACCGCGACTGATTTGGCTCACTGGCTGCAACTCGCACGTTCTCATATCATTGTCTTTCTGTGAAACCTGTAAACTGCATTCACCGGTTTTTACTCTATAGCGGTTGACCAGAGCACTGCAACCATTTCTCACTTAAACTACAATCAAATGGACTTCCCCACACATTTTGCGTCTGTCCTCTACGTGGCATTTTATTCTGCATTTGAAGTGTGCAAAAAAATAAAAAAACCGACTATACAACGTGAACCGCGTCAGAGACAGAAAGCGAAGAGAAGACATTGTTGAAAACACTGCAGCTCTCGTGAATGGGCTCGAAGACTGACAAGGAAGAGAAGAAATTGTTAAATAAAGTCGTTATTTTTGTTTTTGCGCACAAAAAGTATTCTCGTCGCTTCATAACATTAAACTTAAACCACTGTAGTCACATGGACTATTTTAACAAAGTCTTAACCTTTCTGGGCCTTTAAAGTACGAGTTTGAGAAAGTATGAGAAAGTTATGACGTTGCTGTTTATAGAGGGGTCAGAAAGCTCTCGGATTTCATCAAATATCTTAATTTGTGTTCTGAAGATGAACAAAAATCGTACAGGTTTTGGAACGACATGAGGCTGAGTAATTAATGACAGAATTGGAAAACTAACCCTTTAGGAACTAACCTCCCTAAAGTACTCAGAGATAGATAACTTTAAAACGAGGGTCGGTCACGGTAACTAAGACTTTTAAACAATAAACAGACACAGAAAAGAATGAGAATCTGAGAATCCATCACAAAGCTATTGAGAGAATCTGAAACAGTGCAGAAGAATCTAGCGCAAACTCCATAAAAGTCATAGCATATAGTTGTGTACACACAACCCAAGCTAATAATAACAACATGTCAAGGTAATGAAGCTTTAAAAAAAAAAAAAAGACTTGATAGATAATTCCTTATAGTACACATAAAAGTATAGACAAAAAGCACTAAAACTACTATAAATTCTTTCTTTATGTTTGCAAAACTTTAGTTGTAAATATCTGCAAAATTTACGTGACAGTTCGCCATAAAAGCTAATCTATCATCAGGAGGAGGAACTTTCCCGTATGTTCCATGCAGCCAATCAGAGTTCAAAGCAATTTGTCTGTCCCCCAGTCACATTCCTTGAATTAATTTATTCTGACAGGCTTTGTGTAGCACCAAATAGGCCATCCTTTCTAGACCACAAAAAAGGGAAAAAAAAGGACAAAAACAGCAGTGATCCAAATACACAATTATATAAACTGGTTCAGAAACCCGGTAGTCAGAAGAGGATAATTTTCTTTAGATATTCAGTCTGAGAGCTACTTGTAAAGTATTTTTTTACAGTTGTACAGAGATAATTTAAAATGTACAGGAGCACAGGAGTGTGATTCTCACAAACACTGGAGAAAACTTGAACACTCTACAAGGCTGAAAACAGCCACAGATCACACGGTGTTGTGTCTTTACACTTATACAACAGTAAGAAAGACACTCAGATCGGAGCTCATCTTGAACACATCTTTACTGCACAGTTGCAACGATCACTTTCAAAACTAGAGTGCGCAGATGCAAAATAACTCAATTCACAACAGTCCCTCCCATCCAGCCTTGATGTACTCACTCCTGATTAGGGCTGCACGATTATGGCCAAAATGATAAATCACGATTATTTTGATCAATATTGAGATCACGATTATTTGTTGATTTTAACTAAAACAACAATTGTCACATAGGCTAATTATAACTGCTTTCACATTCATATTGTGCTACATTCCTGCTAATGTACAAATATGTGCATCAAAATAAAATAGGTCCTCTTACTCACCAAAATTCAGTGCATCTCCTTAAAGAATAAATCAAATAAATAAATCAATAAAGAAATATGTAGCAAAACTTCAACAGGGCATTATTTTCAATTTTACATTGTGTAAATATATTTTAGGAAGCAAAATATAAACTTGCATTGCACCTGCATAATGGATGTGAATAAAACTCAAAATATACTAATCAATAAAAAACAAATATTCCATAACAGAATGTAACCAAATTAGAACATTTCAAGGCAGAACTATGCACTATGGAAGTTCAATTAATGGATAAAATTCAGAGTCATTGTTATGACGCTTAAGAAACGTAAAACCTGGTTGTGGTACAGTGTCAGTGATTAGTTGTGAAATCCTCCATATGAAAGTTTATGTGCTCGAACTATTTCTATTCATTAAACAATAGTTCAAAACAAGACGTTTGTAGTACTGATTATTGGAGTCCATAATTCGAACTTACACTATATAAGAGCATGGCCCAGGGGTCATAGTCTAGATCTAGAAACTAAGCTGCGCGGTGCAGGGAACAACTCTGATTGGCTCATGGAGGCACGTGATCAGACAGTGGTTTACGGAGCGCTAGATTGGCTTTGCAAAAAAACCCCCAAAAACCCAACTTTGATACGGAGTGTTCTATGAACGGAATGACACATTTTTAAATATCGCTCGATCACTCGAATTTGATCGTGGGAAGCCAAAATCGTGATTAAAATTCGATTAATTATGCAGCCCTACTTCCGATGTTTTGAAAAGAAATAACTTGTGTTGCTGTTGCATCCAAAAGCAGATAGATGTATCAGCACCAAACCATGTTGGTACTAACTTACCGTGTAAGTGAGGGGGGCCCAGTCTTAGTCAAGTTTTTACCTGGTTGCCACTTTTGGTGTGATTGGTCTATAGTCTCTAGCAAGCACATTTTGACCAACTTGCAAGGTCCTGAGTATGGATCATTTTGGATTTTGGCTACACTGCTTAGTTTGCATGTCGGCGCAAGTCAGATTTACACAAGTCTAGACGTTAACAAAGACTTCGTCCCATAAAGAGTGTGGCTGGAGACTGACTTGTGGTTGCGTGAGTGGAGTTCCTATAGGCCAAACAAAAGTTTGCAATCTTTTCTCACAGTGGCACTCTCCTTCCATGGGATTCAGGGACTGAATAAAAGCGTTCAGCCAGGCCATTCGTTACAGGAATTCCTCCGAGGTAAACTGTGTACCATCATCGCTGACCAACTGCTCAGGTAAGCCAGTGAGGGAGAACAATGTGTGTAGCAGTTCATCAGTCAGCGTAGGTGTAGCATTTTTGACAGGAAATACCTCTGGCCATTTTGAAT